TTCCTTCCCTTCCCCTCCTCCACCCACAGCACCCCCTCCTTTCCGTACCGCCTAATCATGTCGCTGTTGACGAATGCGATCCGCGCCACCTTGCTCTTCACATCGCCCGGCTTGGGGAGCATCAGCCTGGGGTGGGGGGAGGGGGATGGGGGAGAGGGGTTAGTGCCGAGGTTTCGGCGGAGGAATGTTTAATCGTACGGTAAACGAGTAATGGTGGGGGGCGGGGGGGGGGTATTAGCACGAGGGAAGATACCAATAACCCTAACACATCGTAACGTGTACGACAGGCACGCACAGCACAAACCCCCACCCAACTCCCACTACACTTCCTCCTCATGTGTATCCCATGCCGTACTTTTGCAGCAGGTTCTGGTCGGGGCGGCACAGGGCCTTATACGTGGACCATAGGGCCTCCGTGTGCCCCGACATGAGAATGGAGGCTCCCTGGGTGCGCTGCCGGAGAGCCTGGGGGGTGGGGGGGTAATGGGTTTTGGGTCGGGGGAAATTGGAGGCGAGTCAACTCACTCGTAGTCGTACTCACCATATCTGCACCAAGTCCAGGTCAGCAATGCGAAGAAGGACAGTGCAGTACAACCACGGGAAAGGGGGGTAGAGGAAGGCCGGGAGCGTGCAATGGCGGTTATGGTGGTTGTGGTGGTTGTGGTGGTTTGGCGGCCCAAAAGGTGTTTGTTTACCGACATCAAACGCCTCCACCATAGCCCCTCCAACGACCTCCATTACACACACATACACACATACGCACCCATACACACACCTGTACGGCCGCATTCGCTCGCGACAGCGACGCCGCCAATGATCCCGGCGGTTGTACGGCAGCCACCGCACCCTCCCGCTTGCCAATGGACAACACGTTGGGCCAGTGGGGGAGGGCCTGTGTGAGAGAGGTGTGTAGGGGTGGGGGGGGTGGGGGGGGGGTGGGGGGGGGAGCAAGGGACAAATATGAATCAGATGAAGAGCAGGGAAAGATACCGTACGTGCGCATTACACCGTACGGGTGTACGATATATGATTTCAGCAGGTAACCAACGTTGTGGGAGACTGACTTAGGTTACACTGTGGGCCGCGAGAGCCGGGGGCCAAAGCTGAAACACAGCACAAGGGTCGGGAGCACACAGCACAAGTCGGTTAGTCTTGTGTGCTCCCGACCCCGACTCAGACTGCCAACACTCTACACAGCCACTCCGCAGCCCCTCCATCCGGGGATGGCGCTGCAGTGAAGACACCACGAAGGGCTCTCAGGTCCCGCTAGAGCCAGTCCACAAGTCTCAGCTAGGGCAAAGTCAAAGGCTCTCTGAAACAACCCCCTAAACACACAACCAGCGACACAGGGAAGAAAAACCCAAACAACGAAATAAGACGGCTAGGGGGAGCCCAGGCAGGGGAGGGCTCCTGATGCACCTAACTAACAAGCCAAAAAAGAAAAACCTCCAAGAAAAAAAGGCATATATGCAGACATACATACGCACCTTCCCCCCCCCACACACACACCTCCTCCTTAACCCCGCCCCATCGCCCATACCTAACCTTTCCTTCCCCCCTCAAACCTCCCACCACCACCACGCAACCCCTCACCCACACACATACACACACCCCACTTCCCCCCTCGCCCCCCCCCACCCCACGTACCCTAATGAAGTACAGATTAGTCACCCCCAGCAGTGTGGGCACATCCCTGGCCTCGGGACCGGGGAGCAGTCCGAGGGAGGCCATGCGCGAAAAGGCAATGTCGTGGATGCAATAGTACGGACGGAAGTCGGCGGCGTACGGCAGCGGCGCCACCAGGCTGAGCAGCGCCGCCACCCCCGCCGACGTCTCCCCCGGTGTGGGGGCAATGAGCATCATCGCCCTGCCCAGCAGTGTCATCTCCCATAGCTGCCACAGCCGAGTCAAATGGCCGCTGAGGGGCGTGAACACGTCCATCTGGGGCGCGGGGGGGGGCCGGTGGGGGGGGGCAGGTTGCGAAAAGGGGAAGGGGGGAAAGACGAACCACGAACGAGTAAATCTGCTGCCAGGGCAAGAGTGTACCAGGCGGGGAAGGGGGAGGTGGGAGGGAGAAAACATGAAGAGAAAGTGGGACATGAACAGCTGCGGACGGTGTCAAAGGTCCGAAACTCCACTGTGGGGTGCACTGTGATGAAGTCACCGACCCGTGGTTCCGGATGGAGAGGGGGGAGGGGATGATGGTAAGGTAAAACCCGTAATCGCCAATACACCTGGCCCCTCATCTCTCCCCCTTCCCCCCCCACCCCCACCCCGGCGTTACCCAGCTGCCCGCCCAATGAGGGAACTCCCCCCTGCCCCACCCGCCCGCCAATACACACACACACACCTCGTGGAACACGCCGTGTATGGTGGCCCCCTCCCCGGCCGTCATCTGGGGCGAGGAGGGGACTCGTCGGTGGACCCCCTGGTGGGGGTAAGGGGGGTAAGGGGGGGAGGAAGGGAGGGGAGTGGGCGGGAAGTGTGCGGGGTGAAGGTACCCTCACACAACAGAGAACATAAACATTAGTCATGCCACCCCACTGAGTAAGCCCCCACCCGCACAGATCCCCTCCCCAAACATACACACACGCACACAAACAAACAAACAAACAAACAAACAAACAAACAAACATACATACATACATACATAAATACATACATACATACATACATACATACATACATACATACGCACGCATCCAGTACCTGAGGGATTGCTACCGGGGCTCCCCGGGTGCCATTGGTATCCTCCCCCGGCAACGTGTCGTACTATGCGAGGGTGGGGGGGTTGGGGGGGGAGGAGCGGGTGGGGGAACGACGTGAGGGCAAGAGGTGGCAGTGGGTGGGGCTCTCTGGCCCCTAGGGGTAAACACGAGACCGGGAGTAAAACCCTGGAGTGTTGAACAGGTGACAAACTGACAAACCGACAAACACGGGGGTAGCAGCAAGAGCAATGTGGGATAAGAGAGGGGCTGCACACTGACTGGCTGCTGCTTGTCTCCCTCCCCCCCCCGCCCCCCCTGGTCCCCCGGCCCCCACTTCCTCCCCCTTCCCCCCGGGGGCGGCCCCCAACACACCCGAGGTTTTCCCCCTCCTGCCGTACTGCCGGGTGTCGGCTGTGCCACGTCATCCAGTGGGCCACCCGCGTAACTCGATGTGCGGCTAGGGACGGGGGAAAGAAGGGGGAAAGGAAGGGGGGGGGAGAGTATGTGTTTTAATAAACTGCGGCGGCGGGTGCGGGAAGGGGGTTGCGGTGGGACGCTGATCCCAGTGGCGGCCCCATGCAGCGGACGAGGGTGGGAAGACGAACCACGAACGAGTGAAGGTGCTGCCAGGAAGGGGGGGAGGGAAGGCCGTGTAGCGCAGGACGGGCGGCAGTGGGGAGCTGCACCTCCACCTCCACACTCAATCACTAACTCGCGACCACACCACCCACCTAGGAACCTGGATGGACGAGCGACTGCGCTGATGTGTCGGTGCCGTACCGCCCCCAGGACCCCCATTCGACGGGTATAGGGGTACGACAGCCGCGGCAGGCGCACAACCGCCTTCCGCCAACAACCCAGAAATATGACGTAGACCCCCCGCCGCCGCCGTCGCCGCCGCCGTCTCGCCG